TGCCTGGCCTTGTTGTGGTTCTGGGCATCCGAACTCAAGTCCACATGGTGCCCCATGCTGGTGCAGCCAGTGCTTCATCTGTTGTGCCATCTTCTAGCGCTGGTGAAATTCTTACCCATTTTAATAGCTGTATCATAGCTTACTTATATATAAAAGTTATTTTAAGTCTTAGAATTTAAGGTTGACTCAGTTACACTGAACAATCATTTAGTTATACATTCACCATTTTTTCCCTTAGGACATATTTTTAAAAAAATTGGTTCTTCATCCTGAGTGAGGTATCCCAGAAATAGAAAGACACACAGGGTATATACTCACTCATAAATGGATATTAGACATATAATATAGGATAAACATATTAAAATCTGTACACCTAAGGGAGCTAATCAAGAAAGGGGACCCTGGCTAAGATGCTCAATCCCCATTCAGAAAGGCAAAGAGGATGGACATTGGAGGAGGGAGAAAACAGGGAACAGGACAGGAGTCTACCACAGAGGGCCTCTGAAAGGCTCTACCCTGTAGGGTATCAAGGCAGATGCTGAGACTCATAGCCAAACGTTGGGCAAAGCGCGGGGAATCTTATGAAAGAAGTGGGAGATAATAAGACCTGGAGAGGACAGGAGCTCCACAAGGAGAGTGCAACAGATCCAAAAAGTTTGGGCCCAGGGGTCTTTTCTGAGACTGATACTCCAGCTAAGGACCACTCATGGAGATGGCCTGGAACTCCTGCACAGATGTAGCCCATGGCAGTTCAGTGTCCAAGTGGGTTCCATAGTAGTGGGGACAGGGACTGTCTCTGACATGAACTGATTGGCCTGCTCTTTGATCACCTCCTGAGGGGGAAGCAGCCTTACCAGGCCACAGAGGAAGACAATGCAGCCACTCCTGATGAGATCTGATAGACTAAGATCAGAAGGAAGGAGAGGGGGACCTCCCCTATCAGTGGACTGGGGGAGGGGCATGGGTAGAGAAGGGAGGGTGGGGTTGGGAGGGGAGGAGGGGGAGGAGCCAGAGGGGGGATACAAAATGAATAAATTGTAATTAATAAAAATAAAAATAAATGAAAAAATTGAATCTTTCTGTCTTGGGGTGATGTCCAGGCTTGTATCAAACTTGCAACCTTTCCACTCCTGACTCCTGAGTATTAGGATTATAGGCATGTACCACACACCTGGCTGAAATGTTGTCTTCAATTCTTGACTCCCTACATGCTCATTTCACATTTGCTTGGGACATTACAAATAGAATACCCTGTTCCTTTTTAATTCTGGCTTGCGAGCTGTTGAAAATCAGCTTGACTGAAGCTGGGAGGAAAATAGTAGTTCAAAACCATTCCCCAGGCATGCTTGCATGCAAATGCTTAAGAATAGAAAAATCAAAGAAATGACGGTCCTTGAGGAAGACCCTGAAATCTTGCTGTGTGTGTATGAGTGTGTGAGCTTGTGTGGGTATTTCCCAATGACTGTCTAGAGGCTTTAGGCTTCTCAGACTGCTCACAACCTGGAGATTGTCATCCAAGAAGCAAACAAAGTAAGAAAATTAAAAAAAATATATTTGCAATTGATCCTGCAGACAGTAAATGATATACCTGAGAGCTATTTCTCCCCCTCCTCTTTCTTTCCCCTCTGTTCCCTCCTTTTAATCCTTCTCCTTTCCATTTCCCATCCTTTCTGTTTTCTTTTTGATGCAGGGCAAAGTTTAAATTTTTAAATTGTTTTGTTTTTAATCTGTCAGTGTTCTTTGAGAACTGGGGGAATCTCTCCAGAAGTTTGACCTCTGAAATTTTCCTGGAAATTCAGATCCAATTTAAGGAGAAAGAAGTGAAGCAACCATACTCACGCCAGCCCAGTGGTTATGGTTGACACTAGTGAGTCAAAAAACAACAAGATGTGAATGTGAGATGGGGACTTGGCAGGAGGGGGACTAGGGAAGGTGGGAGGGGACCAAGAGAGGGTGGGGGATGAGTGTGGCCAGAATGTATCACATATGTGTATGGGACTATTGAAGAACAACCTTTCCATTATTATTACACATGTTAATTATAAAAATAAATTTAAAGAAATGAAGCAAACCGCCTCCTCAGGACACAGTCTTCGTGGCAAGCCTGCATTTTGTCTGGGCATCCCAGACTTGGCCAAAGTAGGTGCTAATGTTCCAGCTAAGAGGTGGTTCTGGGATGGGGAATGATTCCTAGTCCAACGGATTTTGTCAGGCTTTCATCTCCTGTGCGTGTTGGCAAAGGCTTTCCGCCTGCCATATGATCAGTGCTCCCTACTCCATTAGATGATCTTTTCGGGAAACAAAGCAGCAGAGAAGAAAAGAATTGATATGTAGGACCGAGCAGGATAGACTCTTGCTCATGTTCCCCAGCATGCCTGGCCAACCTTGGCTTCAGCTAGCCTAATTATATAAGCTCATACCCTGTTTGCCTTAGAGTTATGTAGGTGTGTATTGGTCCTTTACGGGAGCCTCATGCTTATTATTCCAGCGTCCTTATTATTCTCACTTTATTGATAAGGGAACTGAGACCCAGAACGGTGAGATACTTTGCTTAGACTAACAGCTGGAAAGTGGAATGACCTGATGTGAAGGGTGGGCTGTTCTGACCTCGCAACTCATTCCATTTCTATCACCGGGGAGATTCAGTGGCTTCAGCTCATTGTGCTTGCATCCCAGCCCTGGGTCAAGAGGGCAGGCTCTGGCTCTCTCGTGTCACACGGCTATGGACAGGCCAGTGATGTTAGATCCTTTAGGCTGGTGCATCCAGGCTAAGCTGGTACTCAGATCCCACCATTCACTCCTGCTTGTTCTGAGAACCTTGCTTCATTAACATTTCTGAATTCTCAGAAACCATTTACCAGGCTGTGCCCAGAACTAACTGGCCTCCTGGCATCCAGGCTTCTGCTCTTGGCAGACACAGATTCTGCCAGCAGGAGCAATTCTGGAAAGATGCATGCAGCTTTGGAGTATTGAAACTTCTTATATCTGCTTTTCAAAGCTTAGAAAAAAAGAAAAAAGAGCAGAACTATTCAGATGGAAGTTAACAGTGTTTTTAATATTTAAAGTAACAAAACACGGAGGTTAATACTTAATGCATATAATTAGACAGAGCAATAACAAAAGGAAACGGACAAAGCACCGTCTATAGGGGAGCTTTTAAACAATCATGTGTTAGACAGAGAACTATTAACCAAAAACACAGCTGGCTCTCACTGCCCGGAACCTGACCAGGGAGTTTTGGTGGGTGGGTAGGCAGGTGAGATGGGGTTTCAGTGTGTGTGTGTGTGTGTGTGTGTCATTGTGTCCATGGTCTCAAAGGGATGACCTTTCATTTAGACCCAAATAATTTTAATAATCTTCATGCCCTAGATTGCTCACTTCCACCTCCTTCTCTCCCTCCTGCTCTTGAATTGTTTGATCCATTCATCCTTTATACCATTTCAGATAATGAGTTTCAGAAGGGCCTTCTTCAAGAGAGCCTAAAACAACCGGTGTCCCAGTGGGAAGGACTCTGTGAACTACGTTGGCTCTTGGTGAACACAGTTCCTCACTGTTTGGTGGGTCAGGACCTGGTCCTTATCCCAGGCACAGATATTCTGTGCAGACTGGAGCCACCCCTTAGTTAGTATTTACTGACCTCCTGGAGGGTACTTATATATGCGCTGTTAATGTAAGGACTGCCCGTTCCTTCATGGCAACCTCATTCCCAGGCTCGTACAGCAAGCACTGCTGCTGTTCCAGGCTCTGGTGGGCTTTAGCGATCGCTCTCATCTCCATCTCTCGGGAGCCTATTCACGCTGCACCCTGGGATGGGGTTCACATTTTCATCTCAAAAGGGCAGTCCTACAAGCACAGAGGAGGGTGTGGCTTGCATATATATTTAATGACTGGCACAGCTGTCAGGACCACAAAACTGACCACAAGACCAAGGAAGTGCCACTGTCAACTGGCAGTGACTGTAGACACCAGTCTTTTTTTTTTTTTTTAAAAAACAAAACAAAACAAAACAGGTTTAACGTACTTTCTAGGACACGGGATTTGATTTTTTTTTTTTTTTTTTAAACAAGGGCCGCACTTAGTCTGTGGAGACCTCAAAAGAAAACAATTAGGATCAGTGAGCTTTTCATGAAGTCTGGATTTACGTAGGACTTTACAGAGTACACTAGAGACAATGACCCAAGAAATGACCCCCCCCCCACATTTTTCTATATGTAAGGGTTAGGCTAATTCATAGAGAAATGATACCATTTTGCTAATATGCTATTTATTATAACTGTACATAGAACTCAGGTTACAAAAAATCCACTTCTTACTTTTCTAGAGAGAATTTCTGACTTCTGGCAGGAAAAGGGCCTCCATTAGAAAGCTCTGGAATGGTCTTGTTGGAATTAGCAGATGCCAAGAGAAGCCGACAGGCTTGTTTGCCTCTACTGAAAATCACTGGGGCTGATAATGTTTTAGATCACCATGTATGGGAACTCAGTTAATAGGCTTGGGAGATGAAAACTATCTTTCCTCTATCATTTTTTTTTTCTCTTTAACCAGTGTTCATTATTAGTATTAGTCAACTTGGGGGTGGTTGAGGCAGAATTGAGCAGGAAATAATGCCTTGTAGTCTATTTTTTTTTTTTTTTTCCATTTTAAAATTTTTCTTGGAGGTCAGGTTGGGGAACAGATCATCAACAGGTTCTATTAAATACGAGGAAGGAAAGCTTCTCCAAACCATCAAAGTATTACTCAGTGAGTCAAACTGCATCCCATCACCAGATTAAAAAGTCCATGGTAAAAGAGCAGAGGTTTGGGATGAGAGAGGGTTACGGCCTCTAACTCATAAACGATAACTCAGCTGTTTCGTGATGGAATATTTAGAGACAGAGACATGTGGCCAAGACTTTTGGCCTCACCATGGATGAAATGAAGGCCTTACCACCTTCCAACTGCCAGTCAAAAACAAATAAGGGAACAAGGCAGAACCTCCTTGTTTTGGGGGTGAGCTCTTCTTGGGGAAGGGTTTCTTCTGCACATGGATGCTCGGGGTCTTAGAGTACTACACATAGTCGTACTTGGTAGGATGGGGTTGTTCATCGTCCTCTGTGCGGGCGCCCCCCTCGTATATCTTCTTGTTTCTGGTGTTGGACCCGAAGCCAGTGCTGGCCTTGAAGCCTCCATGCTTGTAGGCAACATTTTGGCCAGAGGCGTGGTAGGACACAGCTTTGAAGCTGAAAGCGAAAGAAGCAGCCCATGAACACGTGTGTGGGGAAGGAAGACCTGCTTCCCCATTTACTCTTGATTGTCTCCGTTTGAGCCCTGAGCAGTTCAGGCTTTGAACAGGTATGACAGTCTCGAACAGACCAAGACACCTAGTTTCCATCTTCTTAGACATGTAAGCTGTGTGTGGTGGAGCAGAATTTCTTGCTTTTACATCAGGCCTTCGGCGAAGGGAGGAGACTTGGTGAGGAGAGGGAGAAATTTAAAGAAAGAGAAGAGTGTCCAAGAGAGGGTGGTGAAGTACAGGTGACATGAAAGCAGAAGGGGGGACTATTGGAGGGAAAGAGGGGATCAGCAAGAAGGGAGGGGAGGTGGGGAACATATGAAATATGAAATAAACGACAGTATCGGACACATGTATGAAACCTGTTATGTTTCATGCAAACTTAAGTGATTATTTGCTTCTTTCTTTCTTTTTTCCTTTCCTTTCCCGCCTTCCTCCCTCCCTCCTTCTTTTCTTTCTTCTTTCTTTCTTTCTTTCTTTCTTTCTTTCTTTCTTTCTCCTTTTCATTCTTTCTCTTTTGAGGCAGTATCCCACTTAACTCAGGTTGGGCCTCTAACTTGCTATGTAGGTAAAGATGACCTTGAACCCCTGATATCCCCTGCCTCCAGTTGATCCGTGCTGGCATTACAAGATGTGTACCTCTATGGCTTTTGTTTCTTTGTTCTAACCTAAAAAAATTTGTCCATCTGTCTGTCTAATACATGTACATGTTAGAGCTGTAAGGAGATGGTTGTTATTGACTACTGAGCTCTTTCTGTTAATTGAAATGAAAGTGACAATGTCCAGTGGGACTTTGTTTTGACAGAGAATCACAGACTCTGTCAGTTGGAAAGTATGTATGTGTAACTTCTAATTTCTTGTTTTATGGACAAGGTATCAGAGGCTACTTGGTGTGACTATGTGCCCTCCAAAAGTCATAGGAAAATTTAACCCCCCAGTGTGACAGTGTTAAGGGATGGGGCCTTTGGGGTGATGGTGTCACACATCTTTAATCACTGCAGAGGCAGGCATCTCTCTGAGTTCGAGGCCAGCCTGGTCTACAGATTGAGTTCCAGAAAAAGCCAGGGCTACAAACAAAAACAAAAACAAAACAAAACAAAACAAAAACCCCTGTCTCAAAAACAAACAAACAAAAAAACAAACAAACAAAAAAAGAGAAATGAGCCTTTGGAAACATGATCAAGCCATGAAAGATTTGTGTTTTGTAAAATGTTCCAGGTTGAAGGCTCTCTCCCTTGTCCTCCCTCCCACGCCTCTCCCTGTCAATAGCCCTCCTCCCCTGCAGAGAAGGCAGGAAGGTCCCATCTTGGCAGCAGAGACTGGGCTCTCCCAGACACTGATCCCAGTGTCTTCATCTTGGACTTCCCAGCGCTAGAGCCATGATAAATACATTTTTATTGCTTGTAAATTAGCCATTGTAGGGTGCTGTGCTATGAGAGCCCTAACGCAGAGTTAGAGGCTGGGAGAGCAGAGATGACCTGCTGTGGTTACAGGCAGTAGAACCACCGCACGATCCAGCTCTCCCAACCCCAGGACGTCTGCCAAAGTTAAGGGCAGAGTTTTTTGATAGCAGGGCTTCTGGTGTTTTGCAGCAGGTCCTTTGTGGTGAGGGTTGGTCCTGTGCATTTCCGGAGGTCCACCCTGGGCATATATCCACTAGAAACCAGATTTATTTTCTCCTACCATAACCCAAGCAATCACATATTTTCACATGTTGCCAAATAATCTCTGCAAGTGACAGTGATGCAAAATTCTCTTCCAGGAGCTGGCCATGGTGGAGCATGCCTGTAACCCCAGCACTCGGAGAGACAGAGGCAGGCGGATCGCTGTGAGGTTGAGGCCAACCTGGTCTACAAAGCGAGTCCAGGACAGCAGAAAAACCCTGTTTCGAAAAAAATAAAATAAAATCTCTTCCAGGGAAGGATTGCAGAGTTAGGAAGCACTGGAGCTAGAAGGAATTTAGAGGGATTACCCTTCCGTCCCCACTTTTAAAGAGTATTTATATCAAACACTCCCAGTGAAATCCTGTTCGATTTTTTTTTTTTTTTTTTTTTTTAGGTTTCCCCATGAAAGAGGAAGTTCAGTGACCACTTAGCCAGTCTCATTCTTCCATTATGAGGACCAATTACTCCGGCTATAACGTACACATCAAGTGTACACGGCTAGCTGCGGTGGGAGGAAGGACTCACTTGCTGTCATCCGGTGTCAGGCCACGGCAGGCGATGCACATCATCACTCCCCCAATTAGTGTGAGGCCTCCAGCGACCCACCCCACGAACAGAGCCGCACCAAAGGTGTACCTGGGCAGGGGAGAGGTCATGAATACAGACGACTAAGCCCTCCAGGTTCTTCCCGTTCAGTCCCCCCCTTGTCTTATTGCTCTTTCAAGAGAGAGAGCCTGCAACATTTGGCCAGAGGCCTCAAGTTGTTTCTGAAGGAGTTTTGGTGGTTTGAGTTTTCATGGTGGACCTTCTCTCAGGTGGCATCCAATGGTGACTCTTCTCTAAGGGCCCAGATATTAAAGGCTTGATGTCCAAAGGTAGTACCTTTGGACCTTTAGGAGTTGGGACCTGTGGGAAGCTTTAGGTCATTGAGGATGTGCTTTCAAAGAACGTGAGTGTTAAAACTGAGAAAGTCTCAGGCAAGCAGGAATGACTTATTAGCTACTTCCAGGCTGTTCCTTATAAGCAAGAGACTGTGGGAGAGAAGTGGAGAATAACAATGGCAGCTTATGGGATCACTTTCCTCCTCAGTCTTGAAACAAAGCAGAAAACATGAATGGGGCCCGGAGTTCTCTGGAGTTCCAGAGAGTCAGATCATGATGGCTGTATCATCTTTGTATCCTGTTTGAGCCTCTTATTATTGGGTGGCTTGAGAAATACCAGGTACTTCTATGTAGAGAGGATTTGCACAACAATCCTGAACAAATATAGGTATTGATAATGCTTTTCCATTAAACATTTTTCTTTCCTGGGGCTGGAGAGATGGCTCAGTGGTTAAGGGCTAAGTTCAATTCCCAGCACCCACATGGCAATTCAGAACCAACTATAACTCTGGTCTCAGGGGATATCACCTTCTTCTGGCCTCCTCAGGTCCTGCACAATGTGCTATTTAAACATACACATAGGCAAACACTCATACATAGAGAATAAAAAGAAATAAAATCTCAAAAATTAGAAAAAAAATTTTCCTGCTCCCCTTCAGGTATCAAATTATAGTGAGGTTTCATTTTCAATCTCCTAGACCTCTACAAGAGCGGGGAAGTTTGACATTCTTTTGCTTTCTGATCTCTGCCTGGGCCCCAGCAGGTGTTCAATACATTTGCCAAATGCATGAATGAATGAAGAGTGAGAGAAAAAGGCAGCAGTACCAGGAGGAAAAAATCACTTTCCCTACCTGTACTGCTCCTCGTTCCTTTCTATTGAAGTTTTTTTTTTTTTCCTGATCACGCCAACCTTCCCATTATGGACTGTGGGTTTAAGCTGATGCTCATTTACAGCTTGAGTTACCATGCCTGTCACATTGCCACCATAATGGGGCCTGTGTAAGAATGCTAGATAAGTATTGTGAACTGTCACTGTATTTCAGGGCCAATGCCAGGTCCGCCTCTAGTCATATCAGCAAGGGTATTTCGTGGAAATGAAGTTTATGAATTTACAGATCCTCGTTGAGTTAGGATCCGGCCCGGTTGCCTCTGATAAGTGCTTGTTATTCCGGGCGCCGACAGTCACCTTAGGCACCTGGCTTGATCGTCCTCTTACAGGGTCCCCCAGGAAGCAACCCGGGAGGTTACCTGGTCTGGACAGTCTGCACCATCCCGCCCATGCCGCTGTACATGTTGGCTGTGGACATCCAGAAGTTGGTAACCAGCATGTTGGCAAACACCGACACGCCAATGATCGCACAGACTCCTGGGGGAGCAAAGAACAAGAACCAGTTTTAGGGACCACAACATTTCCGAGGCGGAAATGAGCACAGATTAAAAAAAATAAAACTGTAGGCTATTCCATTCCTGTAATGGAACGGCCAACCAACCAACCCGGCTGTGTGCTAGACAGTAGGCAGGGTACTCTTCTATTTAATTCTGGAAGGATTAATGTGTGTGTGCACAGAAAGAGATGTTTCCACACACCTTGGGACCAAGGATAAATAACCCAAGTATTGGGGGGGGGTGATCTTTGGTTACTGGCAAGAGCTTTCCCCTTAAAACTACTTTCTAGACTTTCACCCAGAAAATGCTTTTCAAGGGCCCAGTTCCATGCTGGCCTTAGGGCTGACGCTCTTACATTGCAGTGTCAGGAGCTAAGAGGGGCCTTAGAACTGGTTACAGTTCTATGGAGTGGAATTTGGCTTCTACACACTCAAATCTTGAATTCAAGTGTGAAGCACGCTGGGCTATGTTCAGTAGGGGAGAGGGATCACTTTTTTTCTATCAGGATAATTTGTTCTAACATTTGCAGGTGCATGGGAGTGGGAACCTGTGTTTACCTGAGATTATGAACAAGATCCCAGAGGTCAGCGTCATCTTGGCCTTTGCAGAATCATCCATGCTGCCAATGCGGATGCACTTCAGGGCGAAGATGGACACTAGGATGCCAAAGACCCCCAGGACAATGCCCACGATCATGAGGGCTCGGACTGCTTGCAGCATGGCTGTAGGAGAAGGGGAGCAGATAACACCATTGATTAAGTTTTATGTTGGGAAAACACAGCAGCCGAGCCTTGGAGGGCTAGCAGGACCGTGAACTGTTTTCTTTGACGCTGTGCAAAAATGTGGGATTGTGGGAAATGCAAAAAGGCATCACTTGCACTCCTCCGAATGATGAAGAAATGTGCTCACAGATGTCCATAGAATGAGGGATTATGGAGGGGTGCAGTTGAGAGAGCTCTGGGTATTTATTATTTTTTTCAAAACTTGATAATCTGGGCCCAGAAAGGCAAAACGTCTGTCTAAAGTGATCATTGACAGGAAACTCAAATAACCCAAACATCAAACTGCTTGTCTTATCATCAGGATTGAAAGCTTCATGGAGCAGGTAGGGAGACTCAGCACTAAGTCTGGCCTGAAGAAATCAAGGCATGGAGGCTATACCAGCAGTACTCTGGTTTTGTCCTTTTTCAAGAGCAATTGCTAAGGTCATCGGTAAGCTGTAGTGAGAATTTTTTGGTTTCTTTAAAAACACAGAATTGCGATGGAAATATGTAATATGTTTTTGTTTTGTTTTATCCCCAGGTGTGGGATATGGGGCGGCTTCAGATTGTCCACAGCTGCTAACTATAATTTGTCTTGTGCGCTGGGAGGGGTATGGGCTTTACACCTGCAGATAGTTTCTGCAAGTGTATGTATGACATTTGGAATTCTGGGGACTCTTGAGAGAGCATATAAATTCAAGAGCCCTGAGAGAGGCTGCAGTTGCTCCTCCTCCTCCTGCTGTTCCTTCTGCTTCTGCTGCTGTTGCTGGTTTCTGTTCTTGGTTGTGGTTTGTCAAGTGGTGGTCCACAAAGAAACGAGAAGAAGTTGAATATCCTACTGGCAAAGATCAAATTTGCTCCAAGGAACTCAACACTTGTAACCAGCAGGAAGTAGTAAACAATACGATGTCCTCTTTCCTCTCTATCCTTCTTTTTCTCCTACTTAGTGTTGGGGGCTTGGAAGGGTGGTAAAGAAGGGTAAAGAAGGGAGGAAGAGATTAAGGAACCCAATGAAGAGTAGCCAAGAAGTCTGGTTACAGTGCGCTGTAGGTTTCTGATTTAAATGATTGTGAGGAGCCGCACTCACTTTAGCCGTTACAAGATGGCGCTGTGTTCTAAACTTACAAGCAAGTAATCTGCGCATGTGCAAAGGGACTTTCCACTCTGTGTGCTCCGCCTCTCCCGTGGCGTCATGAGCAACCACCAATCAGGGACTGACACATCCTAGGCGAAGGACAGTTTCCTATATAAGGGAGGGGTCTTTGCCACTCGGAGTCTCGCTATGTTGCCCAGGCTGGAGTGCAGTGGCTATTCACAGGCGCGATCCCACTACTGATCAGCACGGGAGTTTTGACCTGCTCCGTTTCCGACCTGGGCCGGTTCACCCCTCCTTAGGCAACCTGGTGGTCCCCCGCTCCCGGGAGGTCACCATATTGATGCCGAACTTAGTGCGGACACCCGATCGGCATAGCGCACTACAGCCCAGAACTCCTGGACTCAAGCGATCCTCCTGTCTCAGCCTCCCGAGTAGCTGGGACTACAGGCGTGCGCACCTACAGTGCGCTGTAGGTTTCTGATTTAAATGATCAGTATGTTAATATTAAGCCTTTCAACATGACCACAGTTTATCAATATCGTCTCCCTTCTAGGAATCTATTGCTGATATAGTGACCTCACCTGCAGATATGTCCAACACAGTTTTCAGTTTGGTGAATCATCTTAACAGTCATTTACTGAGACCCCCCCCCCCCCATACTGGATATGGGATGTCAGTAGTGAACACTTCATGAAATGTTGGGGGACATGCAGCCAGGTTTGCCCATTGCAAGTGTAAGGAAAGCTATAAAGACAGATGACCTGGTGCTTTTTAGTGGGCAAGTCCCTTAGTGTGGGTCAGTGGAGGACTTCAGCTGCCAAGCTATGTATCATATGTATACGTGCACCATATGTTTGGTACATAGAAGACACCAGCCACCAATTGTTTTACCCTTCTAGGGTAGCCCCTGCTCTCTCCAGCACACAAAGCCTGATGGATCTGCCTTGTCTCCTATCAATCAGTGCTTTAAAAAAAAAAATCTTTTTTAAAGGCTAAAGATTGATGTCCTGGCAAAATAATCAATCGCTTGTTTGAGTGTCAGAGAACTGTCAAATTGCTATAAAAGCATCGAATTGTTTTTTTCCCCTCTCCTCAGCTGAGATGGAAATCAAACAGCTTGTGGGACAGAGTGATCCACAGGCCCATGTTGAGTTATCTGCCAACCCTGATCTTTCAGGCTAATGACTTGTCTCTTGATCACAATTACTAAATCCAGCATCAGCATGTGACTGGAACCTGGCAGAGGAGAGCCTTAGGTGGGATGTTTGTACTCTAGACACAACTCAGTCTCCCTCAAGGGGTGCAATCAATCAGTGGTCCAGGGACTCCAAGCCTTTCATCAGGTGGAAAATCTGCCACATAATGACAAGTGAAAGTCACGAGGGAGGGACAGAGTTGTGACGAAGTTTGAACTGTGGATTCCAGCTACTTGGGGTGGGGGGGCTACATACATTCTTTTCTTGGGATCAAAGAGTAATTCTGACATCATTGAAAAAAACAAATTTTGAAACTAATTCATGTTGAGACACTGTTAATTGAAACCAGGTGATACTAAACTATGCAAGATATTTTCATCAGTGTTATTCCTTAAAGCCTAATTGTTGAAGGACATTTTCCAGAGCATGACCAAAGCATTACTGATGGTCCTTGCTGATGGGAGTGGCTTCTTATATGAGGGTACAGCCACAGCAACCCATCCCACACTGGAGCATCATAGGACAGATTAAAAGATCATTTTTTCACCCAGGCATGGTGGCACAGGCCTGTAATCCTAGCCCTCAGGGAGATAGAGGCAGGCGGATCTCTGTGAGTTTGAGGCCAGCTTGGTCCATTGAGTCCAGGATAGCCAAGGCTACACAGAGAAACCCCATCTTATTAAAATAAAAAAGATAATTTTTCCCCCGTTTGAAACCACAGAAATTAGTTCCTAATTATATAATCGGTAAATGCTCACTATAAACTTTTCTGAGCTTGTAGAAATCTCCCAAAAGGTCTTTGCCTCACTCCTTAGGGATACCTATCTGTAGCATCTTGGTGAGTAGTTTTTCTGGGAAGTAAAGCCCACAGAGGGTCACACTAATGTTTAGACCGAAGGCACCAACTTGGAAGAAAGCTAGAAACGGAGACTTGTATATAGGCTCTACAACATTCTCATGAAGAGAGGGTCACCTGAAGGAGGCTAGCATCCGTGAGATCGGTGAATAACGGCCAGGTGAAATTCAAATTTGGGAGTAGAAAAGGAACAGCAGAAATGCTTTCTGGTTGTCTTCTTACCACGGCTCTTCACTGGCTGAGGAGAGATCTCACAGACTCTAGGTCAGCACTCCAGATCTCCATCTGCTTTACCCTGAGTCTCATCTCCCTCAGGAGCTTGTGGTTTGATCTTTAGCTGGGCCTCTCTGCTGAGAGGAGTGTCACTAGCCTTGGTCTCACCAGCAGGTGCATTGTGTGAGCTGTCAATCTGTTCATTCTTGGGAGAACTAATAATTTGGGCATCTTGAGATCACAGTTGAGTTGGTGATGCCAGGGAGACCCAGAGAATCCGTAAGGGTTGGAGGGGCACTAAAACCTGTCTACTCCTAAAACGTGGAGGCTCTGCTGCTCTATATACTTATATCCAGAGCCACGTCCAGTGGCTTTGCTGGCCCTGCAGGGTGCCAGAAACAAACATTGTTCATTTCCTTATTAACGAATGAAAATGTATGTCATGTTACTTGTATATTCATTTCTGTCTTTGTGTAGTTAGAGGTGGCATTCTCTGAGTTATTGTAGACATGAATGAATAATGCCTCTATATACTCAGCCAGGAATTTGTTCATTCAATCATGCTTTAGAGATTTTTCTTTTGTTGTTATTTTGTTTCAATGTGTACCTGAGGATACCCTGTACCTAATATGTAGCCCAGGTTGGCAATTCTTCTGCCTCAGCCTGCCAAGAGATTAGAGGTGCTCATCACCGGGGCCTGGCTTTTCATCATGTATTTAGAGTTCAAATCCTCTGCAAAACTTCCCCCCAGACACTGAGAGGAATAAACGCTCAAGAGAAATTATCTGTCTTTAGGTTTTTGCATTCTGAGATTACATATTTACATAGTCCTGAGCCTTATGTTTCTTCTTACTTTGGGAATGCTCTAGCTGACTAAATGCCCAAGAAACTGACTGAGAGTAGCCCACTGGTGTGAGTCTGGTGAGTCTGTGGTTACACACACACACACACACACACACACACACACACACACAGACACATGGTTAAATGACACAGCAATTTTGTGGCTCAGAACTGTGACTCAGAGGACATTGTGAGATAGCCCGAACCCTCCGTAAATAAATATCTTTGGGGCTGATCTGTTTTTTTGATGTTACTGTTAGAAAACTGAAAGTTTCAGAAAAAGAAGCCCCCCTACCCTCCACTCTGCCATCTTGTTCCCATGGACCTCTTAAAGTTTTCAGTCTACCGAGGAACCTATTAAAGGTTTTAAAAACCACTCTTGTTTTGCTCTTTCAAATCCTAAGTGATTAAAAAATATATATAATTTATCCATTTTGAGAACTACTTAGCAAGGCATCTGGTTAAAATCAAACAACCAAAATCAAATGAGCACCAACAAACTGATCAAACAACCATATAGGATGAAGGAGATCTTTCCTCATCCTACACAAGTTACATTTTTTTCCATCCTCAGCAAGGATGAAGCCCCTGACTCCATTGGGTGACTTCAATAATATGTTCCTGAATATATCCCCCCACACACTGTGTCAGGGGGGCTTTTTCCGACATTATGGGATGAGAAGCCTTGTGGGAAGCTGGCAGGCAGAAGGCAAAAGTGCAGAGAGGAGAGGCTGTTGGTGTGCCTAGGAACCCTGGG